CGCACCAGCTCCTTCTTGAAAAGGTCCTCCAGGACACTAATTTTGGAAAACTGAATTAGATTTGCTTTCCATTACTCTGTCTGAGCTCTGTTCTGCACACGGGAAGGAGGGCCACGAGCGCCTGCCGCGTTAATATTTCATCATGAACACGGCACCCAGCCCACGGACACCCTCGGCCACAGAGATCTGCTGGTGAAATCGCTGTCTGGCTGAGACCCTCACACAGCCGGGGACACGAACCTGAGCTATTAATGCATGATTAGGGAAGCTCTGAAGTGCCAATCAGATGACAGTCTTATATTTATCGACACCATAAAATGCTATTTGATATCCTTATTATATATCGTATAAAAAGAGACACTCGTATATACACACACACGGATTGATTGCCCACTGTGTGCTAGACATCATTCTAGAAGCTGTGGGTACGACAGCAGACAAAATGGACAAATGAACTTTCGTCCACTGTGGGAGACAGACGGTAAACAAACAAACGGCACATGGTTGTGTGTAACTGGCAAACGCACGGAGAAAAACCGAACGGAGGAGAGGCCCAGAGCAGGTGGGGTGGGCCCTGGGTTGTGATTCTAAATAAGGAGATAGGGAGGCCTTCCAGAGGAGTGACACCTGTACAGCGCCTGAAGGAGAAGACAGCACCCAGCAGACACTGGGCTACAGGAAGGGCATTTGGGTGGAGGAAATGGCAAGTGCAAAGGCCCTGAGGCAGGAGTCTGCTCAGCAGGAGGCCCGTGGGCTGGAGCAGGTTGTCATAGGAGATGAGGCAGAGGGGGGCGGTGTGGATCTCAGAGGCCCGGTGATGAACTTGTCTTTCTGAGATGGGAGCCACTGCACAGAGATTAGTCATTTATGCATCTTTTCTCCAGCCACGTGCAAGCTCTTTGAGGGAAGGGACCACAGCTGACTCCACCTGCAACCAGCATCCTTGCAAATGCCTGCCCCATACATCCCGGGGAAAGGAGATGGTGCCTGCAATTGGGCCCCAGGGACAAGACCAGGGACAGGAAATAGTGAACGAAATGCCACGTAATTGAGTTCTGAGCCGGGTAAGATGTTCTGCAGGTGGAGACAGTGCAGTGTAGAAGGCTGGCCCACCCACCCACTTTCTGTGCCGCCTGTGGTTCCCAGGTGGGCCACAGAGGCCCCCGCAGGGGTGACGGGAGAGGCCGGCGAGGGAAGGTGAGGACAGAGAGCACGGCACGTACGTGGTGCTGTGTCCGTCGGGTTTGCCCAAGAAGGAAGTGAATAATGCAGGAAGAAGGGTCCTAGGTGTTAACCACATCCTTCCAGATCAACTACAGCGCAATCCAGAAACATGTGCTGAGTGACAAACCATCTGGGAGGTCAGCTCAGCTAATGGAAAAAGAGTGGAAACTGCCTATTGTCACCTCGTTTTGATTATTTCAGGAAACACTCTCCCCTGCGGCCCTCCCGAGGATTCACAGCACGCAGAGCAGGCGGAGGGGGCAGCTGGGTGGATTTCGACCAGCCCCTGGGCTCCTGCGGCAGCAAGGGCAGCCTAGGCTTTTGGCCTGGGGGGTGGAGGGGTCGGCGAGCTCTGTCCACAGGGCTCCCTAGGCCAGGCCAGTGTGCATCTCTGCCACAGCTGGGACCACAAGCCGGGTGTCAGCCTGGCCCCCCGAGCCCCGGGCTCAGCCCTCTGGGGCGTAGAGAACAGCCTCTGAGAACCCTGTGTGACACTGATCCAAGGCGCATTCGCTCGTTTGTTTGTTCATTCTCGGGGGTGTGTGATCACCCCATTTCCATACCCCTGGTCACCCCGAGTGTGTGTAGAGGATGAAGCATTCAGCACCGGCTCCCTGACTCCCCCACCACAAGGTAGGCGCCATGAGAGTGGGGGTTCTCTGTTTTGATCGCTGCTGTATCTTTGATGCCTGGCACATAGTAGGTGCTAAACAAATATCCGTGGAATGAACGAATGAGGTAGGTGAAAGGACACTGAAGGCCGAGCTCTGGGCTATGTGGTAGGACCCAGAGATGAGCCAGACAGTGCCCAGCCCCCGCCCCCAGGAAAGGGGCCTCCACTCCCACCCAGAGTGCCTCCAGCTCCATCCCTTGGAGAGGACCCTCTCCTCCCTCAGGCCCTCCCACTCCTGGGCCCCCTCCTCCAGGAAGATCTCCAGGCTCCCACACCACAAGAATCCAGCTCAGCTCCTGATCAACCCACTAGTCAGTGGCTCTGAACGAAGGGACAATGCCTTTCCCATCTCCCAGCAGACGGGGACCAGCAGAGGGCAGGTCGCTCTCGCCTGACCCAAATCTGCCAGACTTTAGTTGTCGTATCAGCTTCCAACGAGAAAAGCCGGTTCCACCTGACCCTCCCTCCTGCCCTTCTAGCTCAGAGGGGTCTCTAGAATCTACCTTGCCGCCCCTGCCCTATACTCTTGCCTCAGCTCGGAGGGCAGCCGGAGTCAGGGCAGGGTGGGTGTCTGGCGTCTCTGGGGAAAGGATGAGTCAGGGTCAAGGCCAGCTCTCTGGCTCACGTGCCTGGCTGGGTGGTGAGATGGGATCACGGAGGGCTCAGAGGTGGGTGTGCAGAGCTGGAGCCCAGGCAACACAAACGGACCGCAGGCAGCCGGCCCGGCCCATTGGGCCCCAGCGGATCAGATGAAGTGCTCGAATCAGGGGTGCCCACGAGCAGAAGTCCTGGGCCACGGGGTTCCTGATTCCACGTTTTTCAGACAATTGGACAACCAGGGCTGTCTAAAGGCCCTCGGCGTCTTTCCCGTATACCTTTAAGAAGAACAACAGAAATCAACCGGGTAGAAAATTCTCCAGGCTCTAACACACTCTCACTTCACAGAAGTGTGGGTGCTTTCGCCTTGTTTTAAAAGCAAGGGAATAACATCTCCAGCTGTTCTTTGATGTTCCAGGCCAGATGGTCTCGGAGAGATTTACCCGGGGGCCGCGCAACCCATACCAAAAGGAACTTAGCCTTGCTCGGAGGGAGAGCCAGCTGAGGCGAACCTCTCTAAGGGGAAGGCGGTGAGTTGACTGGGGCGCGGGGCTCATCACCCACTGCTCATCACGGCCCAGCCCGCCAGCCACTCAGACGCACCCGGCGCCCACCTCCCGGGGGCTCCCAGCTGCCAGGGCAGCCCCTGCCCCCCGCCAGGCCGCCCACTTTGTCTGCAAAGTCCCTATTCATCCCTGCAGACCAAAGCACAGTGAATCCCACCACCGCAGGGCTCAATCCTCCTGCCCCCTTTTCTGCTTACCTCCCCACCGGCTCACCACCGTTCGGCTTTATGTGCTGAGCTGGGGTTTGGGGGCTGGGAGGGGTGGCAGGGCCAGGGTGGCCCTTTTGTGAGGCTTCCCGCTAATGCCCCGCTAATCCCGCAATTTGCACAACTCTGCAGTGCTGGGTCACTTTTAATTATCTTCCCACCAGGCCCCGTCTGGGAGGAGGACAAACGCTTGTGGGAAGGGAGGCCGTTGGCTCTGAGAAACACACTGCCCACAGAGGCCCAGCTCCAACACATGGGGCTTCCAGGCCGCTGGTACTGACGCTGGCCTGGGCCGCTGATCCCTCCGGGAGCCGGAGAAGGCTCCGGCCACCCTCCCCAGAAAAGTGTGCATTGTTGCCCGTGATTTCCGGGTATCCTGGCCTCAACGCTCAACCCAGAAGCCAGATGTGACCCCAGGAGAGACCCAGCCTGACCTCTGGCCTCCCATAACTCCCTTTCCAGCACCCCAGCCCTTCCTCGTTCACCCCTGCTGGGGCTCCTCTGTGCCCGGAACTCACCCTTGCCTCCCCCAAACACGGGGAGAGCCCCGGATTCGAGGACAAGTGGATGCCCCCAAACCCCCGCTCTCTCTTCCCTCCACAGCCCCGGCCTGGACCCCGAGCGGCCTTGCACACACACGCGTGGACACCGGCATGGACCCCAGCTCCATTCCCCTGTGCACCCATCTGTAACCTCCCTCGGCCAGACCCCGGGCTGCAGGGGCACACACTGGCTGCACAGCCCACTCTGGGAGGACAGACCCAGAGAATAGGTTTCTCAGGCCCTGGAAGCTAGCTCGGGCCATCTGGGCACAGAATCCCAGGGTCCCAGGTACCTCGGCTGTGGCTGGAAGAGGGACCATCTCCAGGAGGCCCATTCTCCCGGCTCCCACCGACTCTTTGGCCCTCAGAGAGGTCACGACTCGAGGAAAGGCAGAGCTGGGCCCCCCAAGTGGCATTATGGGTCCCCAGCAACTCCTTAGACAGGGCCTAAGTCTGGGGCTGGCCTGGCCCTTGGATTCACAGAAAATATGTCTCACGCTCCCTCCTCGGCAGGTCTTCTGTCGCTGGGTTGGAAACACAGATTCTAAGCCTCCAGAAGCTCAGACAGGGACCTGGGAAAGTGGGCCCCGTGAACACCAGACCCAGAAGGGAACTTCAAGTCACTCAGCACAACCTCTGCCTGCGACTCAGCCAGTGGCAGCGGCTGACCCAGGGCCCCAGAGCCTTAGGGGTCAGCAGGACCAGAGTCGGGATCCCCCTCCCAAACCAGCACACCCCACCCAGCAACATCCCCGGGGAGGACAAATACAAAAGCAGCATTCATGCAGGGACGGGGCTGCAGCCTGATGACGGGAGAGGCGGGCGGATGGCCGGCTTCTCCTCCCAGCCCGACTCGCCGGTTCCTCCCGCAGCTACTGAGCACCGCGTGGGACCCCGAGACGGCAGCGGGAGTGCGGGGATGACTCAGCCGGGGTGTTCGCCCTCCAGGAAGTAGGGAGCTGGCATGAGGAATCCCTGCCCCCTCCACCAGGCACAGAGCGGAGGCCCGGAGAGCGAGCCCACAGGCGTCCGGGGAGGTGGGGAGGACACCCCCAGAGAAGGAGAGAGGTCAGCTGAGTCTTGAAGCCAGAAGACAGCGGAGCAGGGGCGCGTCAGAGGGGCACCTGCACGTGTGAATCCAGGGCCTTGAAGACACTGATGTGTGGGGAGCCGGCAGCCACAAAGCTGGTTCTGGGCATCTGAGACGCGGCCAGGCACGTGGTGGCCGAGAAGTAGAGGAACCCGTGCCCCACCCGTCCCCAACAGACAGGGGCTGCCGAGTGCTGAGAAGGCCGCTGCGGGCTCTGCCTCTAGACAGAGTTTGCTGTTTTCAGCTGCTGACCTGCAGGAGGGAGCTTGGTCTTGTCTAATGTTTGCAAGTATTAACACATTCACCGCCTCCCCACAGCCCTGAGTGGCTGTGATACGGATGCCCATTTGACAGGTGGGGACACCGAGGCTGAGAGAGATCCAATCACCTGCCCAAGGTCCACACTCCACCAGTGCAGTGTCCGCAGGGGCAAAAGACAGGGGGCCACTCGGGGTCCCAGGGGGGCCTTTGGAGGGCCTTTGGAAAAGAGGCCACACACAAGGCTCACCACTGTCACCACTGGAGAGGAAACAGTGTCCGCCAGAGAGGAAGAGACTTCCGGCTCCTAGTGGCCATGAGAGGGCAGGGGTTCAGCGGGGGCTTCCTGGGCGCCGGCGAGACGGCGGGGGGGCACCAGATGGAGGAGCCCCGGCGACGGGGTCAGCCCGGGGCCGGCCAGCAGGTGGCACTGCAGCCACAGTGCTGGGCAGGCGCTGGGTTCCAATTCCCCCGTGGATGCCCCGTCCATCCCCATGGGGATCAGATCCGTGCTGACCTCAGGGGAGGCTGGGAGCTGCTTCCTGTCTGCAAGACAGAACTGCCCCGGCCATGGGAGGGTTGTCAGCTTTGCCTTCAAGTGTCCTAACAGAGCACCTGCCATGTGCTCGGTCCCTTGTGTCCACCACCTAGGCGGGCGTACCTCAGCCCAGCTGTGGAGGTGTTAGGAAGCCCGTCTGGCAGGTGAGGAAACTGAGGCTTGGGAGCAGGAAGTGTTCGCTTGCACAGCGGGGGCACCACACCCACTCTGGGCACGTCCCACCACCTACCCCCCCCCCCGCCACCATGACAAATCAGGGTGATGGAATGGTCCTGTCCACACGCGTGTACCGGGGCCGCCCTGCGGGTGCCCCCACGCACAGGACTAGAGCAGGCAGTCTCAAACCAGAGCGTGCAGTGCTTCGCCAACACCTCCCACCCGCAGACCCCTGCCCTGTGCTCCGGCCCCTGCGGACCACTCCCACGGCAGGGCGGCTCAGCCTCCGCTGGGCATCCAGCCCCCACTGCCAAGGCAACGTGGCACCCGGCCAGGGCTCTTCATCCGCAGACAAAGCCCCAGAGCAAACCACCCGGCCGGCCGCCCCAGCTCAGGTTGCTGCCCGCAATGGCCCTGGCCGGGACTCCGCTTGTTCATGGAAATCAGGCCTCCACCATGTTCCGGGGGTTTCTGTGGGGCTGGATTCACAATTGCCTCTTTGTGTGGGTGGCCATAATAGTGTCTCTGGAGGGGAAGAAGGAGGGAAGGAGAGGAGGGGGAGGGAGGAGAGATGGGGGAGAGGGGGGAGGAAAGGAGGGGGAGGGACAGAGGGGGGATGGAGAGGAGGGGGGGAGGAGGGACATGGA